TCCGAGGTTGGATTGCAGCAATGCTGATGGAGTCAAAACGATCACTCCCATCAGACCTTGCATTGTGACCAAAGGTGAATTGGATTTGGGTGAAACCACAGTTAGGCTGATGTGACCTGCAGGAGGCGACAAACCGCCGGATACTTTGGAATCACCTCGCACAAAAAAAACATGTTGTATGCTTTGGGCAACTATGCAAAGAACACCAAATAACCAGTTGCAACCTTGTGTGAACAACATGTTTAAACAATGTCTTCAACTTGTTGGTTTGTTGCTTCCACAATGCGTTTGTGCACTTTTGTGATACCTGGAGAAGCTGCTCGGGTCAATTGGCAAAGGGCGACCATCTCTCACACTCCAACATGCTGTCAATTTGCAACAAACAATGAATTTGCCCTACTCGAATTTATGTAATTTTTGTGAGAGCTGGTGGGCTTTTTTGGCCAACAATCCAAAGGAGATCATGCTACTGGAAAAAAACTTGCTGACTGGTCTCAAGACTTGTTTCGATTGAAGACTTGCTATACTTGCATTGAAAACCCCTCAGTGCATTGCATTATAAACCATCAAATTTGATGCTCATGGCCGCAGGCTTTTTTGGGGGTCCAGCTCAAATCAGGTCAACTCACGGCCATGACTGATAGTGATGTGGAAGAGGTTCCCCTCACAAATGTTCTCCGCATGCCGGATCCTTGCCGGATCTTTAAGATGTGTCAAGAGTTGCTTGCCCACTGTGCAATTGCTAAATGGACTTCTTGGGCTTTGATGTCCCGTCTAAGGCGTTCAATTTGAACGATCTTCTTGCTGCAGAAAGAAACAGGGGCTCATCAGCGGTCACATCAGCGGTCACACCCTCACCGACCCAAAGAACTACTCCCCGCCCACCTGCGTCAGCAAGTGGATCACGCAGTGAGCCGGCATTGCCTGCTGCAGCGGCTACATCGACAACAGGAGATCAAAAGATCAAATTGAAATGCCATGAACATGTTGAACAACCACAAAGTCTAAAGCTTTCTGGCATCACTTGATATTATTGAAAAAATACCAAATTCATCCAAATATCCTACTATCCAATCTGCAAATCCCCATTGCAGGCAGCCATGCGGTGCATCAGCTTCCTCCTCGAGTTCGTGACTCAGAATCATCCGGTGAAAACCCGAAACCCAAGCAGGTCCCGAAGAGGAAGTCCAAGGCGAAAGCCAAGAAGAAGGAGACAGATCCTGATCACGTTCCTCTCTTCGACCCTAAGGATGATGAAGAACCAGATGATGGTGGTGAACGTGGGGAGTGGGATTCTCTTGATGAAGAGGCGGACACCATGGCTCCGCTCAAGCGGCCAGCTACTGCGAAGAAGAGACCATCAGCATTGAAGAAGCGTGCCCGCAAAGAGGACTGGGTATTTTGACTTGCCTAAGCCTACTAATGCTTAGTAGACCACTGGGGGTTTGCCCTGACCAGGATGAATTGGAAGATGCTGGGTATGAGAGCAATCCTGGCGGTTTGGCATTCTTTCATGCCATTGAGGGGAAGATGCTTGGTTTCGACTTAAAACATTTTCCAAATTCTGATCACAAGTTGCTTTCACAACGGACCGCGTGACACTAAGGGCATCTGATGTTGAGGGACCACCCTCGGTACCTACATACACGCCCACGGCCGCAGATACCCCAACGGATGTTCAGGAAGTTTCATCACCAACCGATCCTGGGCCTGATAACCAATTGGGGCTAGAGGAGGAGGACCACGAGGCCAGGTTGGGAATCTTCTGACTGATCTAAGCTGGAAGCAATATATATTCTGATTCTGAATTCTGATTCTCTGGATTGACACCCTCCCAGGCGGCATTGTCGGGCCTTGGCGATGGTCTGGAGGAACTTCTGAATGAAGGTGACTTTCCAGAAGATCCTGAGATGCCAGATCAAGCTGCTCTGTTTGCACCAGGACCAACCAGTTGACAAGTCCAAGTACAGTCTGGGTCCATAGACTTAACTTGTTACAAATTAGTTAGCGGGCTTTATTGCACCTTATCTTTTGTTGATATTAGCCAAGGGCTTCCTGCTAAATAGATACATCGAGCGTTTCATTGCATTCATTTACTAAAGATGAACAATAGATCTCCAACACTACAATCATCCCTCCCAAGGTTGGAGATGAACAAGGCATGCCATGTGCAAAATTCCGTCGATCCAATGCCGCGGACTGGTCAGAGAAGGAGGTGATACCATTGGAGGAGGTGACTCCCTCCTCGCAACCTGCTCTTTTCTTTTTCTGTGACCCTTGTTTGGCTATGACTATAAAGTCTATTACTGCTGCTGCTATTAGTGCAAGATGCTAAAGTCGGATGTTTACGTGTCAGGATCGCAGGGACGGTCCAGGGCCACGAATCACGCAGAGAGAAGTCGATGCAATCCCGGAGGCATCTGGATATCACTTGAATTTGTAATTGAATTGAATCTGAAGTTTGTCTTCCGAGTTGACCTTTTTTTCTTTTTGTTTTTTTGTCTCTCTCTCTCTCTCTCTCTCCGTGCGAGTCGAGCTGGCCTGTTTGTCACTGAGGACCTCTATCAATTTATGGATCCACATCAACGCATGCTTGTGGATCCGGACCAAATTGAACATGACCAATATTTGGTCTATGCGCCATGGAATCCTGACCAGTTGCTGGACCACCTCCAAGCCACAAACCGTGAGATCGATCGACGGGAGCTGAAATCCAATCTTCAACATCGTCGGGACATGGAAGTGGCTTCCGATGATGCCAAGACAGAGACAGCGGAGCCCGAGGAAGTTCTTGAGACGGCGGAGCCCGAGGAAGTTCTTGGATCGGATCCTGTAGCTGCTCGTGAAGCGACGAGTCCGCATGCGCCAGTGGAGCCTGAGAAGCCCGACCATCGCACGTCAAAGGTGGAGTCTCTTTCCCAAGGTGAGGGACCACCCTCCAATGATGGCTCAACCGCCCAAACAGTACAGGCCGCAGTCCGTGCACAAGCACTGGTAGGATTGAAAGCAACACCAAAAGTTAAAGCAGCACCAAAACCGAAAGCGGTAGGTGCCAAGAAGAAAGATCAGAAGGCACCCAGCCCGAAGACCAAAAGTGCCCCAAAGAAAGAACAGAAGAGGCCTGTGCAGAAGAAACAGAAAACACCAGCAACATGCAGCCAGAAGTCTGAACTTAAGAAGAAGCTTCATTCCGCTCCTTGGTTTTTGCTTTAGTTTCAATCCATCAAATCGCAACAACCCATGAACAAAGCTAAGTATCCATCTGATGTTAATAGATTTAAAAACAATTCGCATCGTGCCAACCAAGGTCTATTCAGTCGGCTGGGCAAGTGCCAAGAACGCGGGAAAGGACCAGAAGGGGTGCAAGGAAGCGGGATGGAATGCCCGCAAAGAGTATCTAGGTATGCATGAAAATGGACCAAGTTGGTTGCTTGCTCACTCTGGCTGCTGTCCTCACTTGTTAGCTCACTTGTTAGTTGCTCCCAGGTATCTTGAGGCAACATTTGATTTAGAGGAATTGGACCCAAAAGTGGCTTGCTTTGTAAAGCCTTGCCCCTCCGGCTGAATGCAGCCAAGTTTCAAATAAAGGGATGACGCGTTTCTCAACGCGCGAGCTTGGGGGAAAACAGCAGTGGCAGTGCGGCGGCTTCACCAAACCCAAACGTCAACATGCCCACATGAACATGAAACGCTGAAGGTCCAGGACCTAGTTTCAATTTGGATAGGACCTGGATAGGGCTGGAACTGCTTCCTTACTAATGGTGGTTGATGAATGGAGGGGACACCCCCAAGTGTACAACCAATAGGTACATGGTACCAAACCGACCCTTGTGTTCTTCCCAGGACATCACTGATCACACAGATGGTCTTTGACGGCCTTGCTTTGTTGATCAATAGGTGGGATACCGGGTGGTTGAATAGGCTAGGCTTCCATAGGCTTCCAACCACCATTATTTCAGTGTTATCAAACCACAATTGTTTTACTAGGGACTTTTACACTACAGAAACAGCTCCTTCCCATTGTTCGTGTTTGCCGCAAAAAGTCTGCCAGGCACACAGAGCCAAGTGCTGCCAATCTGCTCAGCTTTTGGGATGCAAAACCTCACCATTTCTCTGAATGGAGAGGGTGGATTCATTGGGAACATCCCGAAGGTCTTTTCAGATCTTTTTAGACAGTTCTAGGTCCAAGCAAACAAGCAGATCATCTCTAAGCTGTTTCTGAGAATCCAGTCGGGCCGAGATCCCTTCGTTTTCGGGCTACAGTTGGTCGAACTAATCAGCTAATCAGTCAGTCCCTGGACCATCCTGGACCCAGCGGTTCAAACAAAGAACTTCAATGTCTGGGGGGCACTTGGAAATACTTGGAATGTCCACGTCTAGCCTATTGTGGGAACAAATATCGATAGCATGCTCCCTTCGACAAGAGCAAGAGGATCCGTTTACCGATACGCGTCATGAGCACTGACCTATGCAGTTGATCCCAGCACAACTACCCAGACACGAACTGTCTGGGACTACCATAGGACTGCCGATCAATTGACCCCCAAAACCACCCCTGGCCTGATCGGCAGTCCTGTGGCAGTCCCATGGAGTGTCTGGGCCATGATGACATGTTGTGTCAAAGGCATTGGACAAACTGCCAATCTTCGCCTTGCTGCCCGAGACTCATAGACTCAGCACATGTGTACGAGACATGACATGACACGAAAGAGTCAAGAAAGCAACAGTACATCAGACATTAAGTGCCAGAAAAAAAAACAAACAAACAAACAGATCCATCATACAACCACCAAATCCTACGTGCCTTGCGCATAGCTCATTTGATAGATTCCTTTTATCCTATTGATTGCAGTTGATTCAACGAGGTTAACACATTTAACCCACTCGACCCCTCTATCTTTCCAAGAGGACATAGGACATCATTGGCTCATCCTTTCTTACCTACCGAAAAGGGGACACTTCGGAATTTGACAGGATGCGCCACCGAAGCCCGAACCACAGCCCCTTTTCTGAAGCACCGCAGACGTGTTGCTGCAGCACCGTTGCCCTTCTTCAACGCTTTCCACGCCATGAGGCGAAGCCGTGGGCCGTGGGAGACCGGACCGGCGGTCGGAGAGGGCCGGGTCCCGGCACTGGACAGTGAGACTGGGGATGTGGAGCTTTCCACATCGTGCTTGTGTTTGTTGATATGGTTGATTCCTCTGATGTTAGGCAAGGACGAAGCACATCAGAAGATCAGATCCGAAATCCATCATACATCCTGGTTTCCACCTATGTTAGACTGAAAGTAGAATTCACCACTCCTATATGAGTTAAAATGGTGAAATGTAGAATTCTTATTACATGCAACCTTAATTTATGCCATAATCACTTTGTTCATTGTTTTGCTTCTTCTTCCCGTACTTCCCTTAGTCGACCTTTCTTGTAGCATAAGATCCTGGAAAGGCAATCCTTGACCAGCTCACATAGAGTAACACACTGGATGTGACCAACAGTCGCTGGATGTGCTCTTCTTCCATTTGGTCATGTTCACCAACGAATATGTCGGCTGTGAGTCAAAACAGGGGTCATGGTCTATTTTCCCGACCTGGGTCAATCCCAACAGCTGGGGAAGATGTTCTCAATCCCAGGCATCCTGGACTAGAAAAGGGGGCCTGTGGAAGGAATTCGGACTCCAATCACAATCATTCCACAGGATCCCCTGGGAGTCAAAGACTATAAAAAGAATGATCTTTAGGGGATCTGAAAGGGAACTTCCTTTACTTCAGCCGGTCAAAATATAGTCTTTGGACTTCTAGGGGATCCATGGTGACTCGTTCATCTCGTTCATCGTCCGGATCACCTGGCAGTCTCAGAGTCGTACGACTCGTACTTCAGAACATGGGTCCTGTGTCTAAATCGGGTCATGTGCCATGGTTTCGGTATCTGAAAGTACAGAAAGGCCACTAATTGGTGTCATGAGGTTCATACACTAGGACCCGACTCTACAGGTCACCAATTGAGACCTCATTCAACTAGCAGCCTGGCCGAGTTCGGGTGATGGTATGTGAGTACGTGAGGATTTATAGGGTTTTGACGTGTCCCTTTTTTCAGTCGATGGGATCTCTTCGGTCGACCCGGTGGACGGCCCCTGAGAACCGCCCTCTCTGGTCGAGCCGTCGCGATGGCGACGTGACCTGGAGTTGACCTGGAACTCGGACCTCGGGTTCCATGGGGCCCCAGTCGTAGCTGTTTTTATGGGGTCAGGACGTCTCCCCTTTTCGAAGGTACGAAGTGGCCCACCAAGTCATCCCGTGGCGCACCGAGCTGTTTTACTAAGGGTTTTACACTACACCTGATGGTTCCCATTTCAAAGATGGTCGACTGGACTTCCAGGCATATACCAGGTATACCTCCTTTTGCTCGATCAAGTCGGGTTCATGACACTTAAGCGTTCGTCTACTTGGTTCCTGCGCTGTTCCGGCGAATGCACCTCCAACGTGGATGGTGAGGACTCCTGTGTTGGACTTGACCCTAGGATTCGAGTCATAGCCGTCATAGCCTTGATTTAACAGCCGGGTCATCCCGAAGGACCGTACTCTTTGACTCTGGGCTTGAAACACGACAAAACCATACCCTAGGGGCACCTACCAGGACCCTCTAAGGGGGTGCCCTGTCTGGAAGCCGAACGGCCGGTAGTGTGGGGTAGTCCAGCCAGGACACCACGACAGGAGGGTCCTGGTAGTGACCTATAGTTATTCCAATTCCTTTTGATGTCTTTGACTCCAGGACCTAGACCCGGCCTCGGCCTTCCGACTTCCCCCCGTCCAGGTGTCGATCCTGCCGATCCTGCAGCCGACGCACCGCACGCAGGTTCGGGAAGGAGGGGCACCGGCGGAGAGGGCGGATGACCCATAAGGTCCTGGGGGGCAAGTACCATCTGGTGTAGTGTAAAACCCAGTAAAACAGCTCGGTGCGCCACGGGATGACCTGCTGGGCCAAGAGTGAGGAAGAGTCCATCTCTCCTGGCCATACTAAGAATCTACCTGGACCTTTCGTTCGTAGCTTCGAAACATGACACATGACCCCCATAGACCTGTTCACTTGGGGAGGTACGAGTTCCGGGTCGTCGTCCAGGTATGGTGATTCTTGGGGAGTTGGTGCTTCACACCGGGTTCCGGTGAGCATGGCCTTCTTGGGGGAATTGAATGGTGTTTTGGTGTTTGAGGTTGTTGCGTTCGCCCCTGGGCTTCGCCGCTTCCAGTCCCAAAGTAGGACAGTTTCTTGGTTTGAAGTAGACCCTGAGAGTCCAAGACTTTAACACATGGTCTCTTTGGGTGCATTCTTTACTTAACATTCTTTACTTCACGGCAATTGGAGGTTCTTAAGCACAAATCCGAACGAACCAGGTGCCCTGTTCGAACAAGGGTTGTACACTACAGGACCAGGTCCAGTTAAAGAAGAACTGGGTCTTGGACTTCCAGCGATATTCCCTAGGGATCCAAGTACCTTCTCAGGTACGGTGATTGGAGACACTCTTATGTAGGTTTTGAGGGTCCAAGCACCTTCTGAGGTTCGGTACGACTGGATCCCTACCAGGACCCTCCGACAGGTCACCAATGGTTCGACCAGGTCAACAGGGTCCAACGGGCCCCTCAACTAGCAGCCTGGCCGAGTTCGGGTGATGGTAGGGATTGTTTTACTCAGAAAGGACACACTTCCAGGAGTCACCGAGCTTGCTCGCTCGCTCGCGATGCCGGAACCGACGAAAGGAACCCCGAAGAGGTCGGAGTGGTAGCGAGGGAAGGAGTCGGAGGTGCCGGTGCCGGTGCCCGTCGGGACCTCAAAAGCAGCCCCATCCGTGTCGACTCCTACCCTAAGGATCCGAGTCCGGACCCTCCTTAGAAGGGGTCGAACCCTCTTCAACAAGGGTTTGTACCCTCAAAACCCTTGTTTTTGAGGGTGCGGATCCTTAGGGTAGTACATTTAACATCTTTCTACCAGGACCCGACGACAAACAGGTCACCAGTTCGACTTGTTAGTTAGGACCAGCCTGGCCGAGTTCGGGTGCTGGTACTAGGTTGGAGGCCATTTTGCTACTAGGAACAAGTGCATCGCTACTAGGAGCAAGGGCCTTACTAGTAGTAACAAGAAGCGAACGTAGAAACTAAGTGCATCTTGCTACTGGACCTGGTGAAATGACCTCACTTCTTGGACTCCCACTAGTAGGGGGTGACTCGTCCTGAGGCTCTGGTCCTGGATCCCCAAGACTGGTCAGGTGCGGTTCGGGAGGATGGAATCGAGTCCGACCTGGACTGAAGAAAGGACGCTCTGCATGTACCACCCAGACGCTCCGTTCACAGCTCGACTGGTCCCTCAAAACCCCCAAAAAATTTGAGGGTCCGGCCCCTACTTTTGAGGGTCCAGGGTCGCGTCTGGGCAGGACCTTCCAACAGGTCACCTGCGACTGGCCAAAGTCTCCAGTCCACCCTGGCACTCGGAGACCTGGCTCTCGGGCGCTAGGAAATGGACTGAGTCGTGGGCCCCCATCGACACTTGGCTTCGACACTGTTCACACAGATCTCGGACCAGGAAATAAGACCTTCTGTCCAGCCAGCCCATGGACTTTCACGTCTTCACGTCCTCACATACTGATGAAGCCTTCGCTTAGTTGAGCGGCAATTGGATGGTCCCTAGCAGTGAGTTCAACGAGATTGTTCCTATCTGTTCTCCGAAAACCCTTCCTGTTACTTACACTAAAGGATTCAAGACATTGAACTCAGCTCCCCCAAAAAATTCCTCCTCAGACCACTCTTTTGGGGTCTTTAGGGGAACTGAAAGGGAACTTCCTTTACTTCAGCCGGTCAAAATATAGTCTTTGGACTTCTAGGGGTCAGCTGGGCACCCCTTTCGGACGAGCTGGGCGCCGTTTCCGCGCGGCCACGGGACCGTTTTTGCGGAAAGCGCGGCATCCGGTGTTTGGACCTCCAAAATCGAGACCCAGACGCTCCAAACAGCTCTTGGTCCCTCAAAACCCCGGACCCCTACTTAGGAGGGTCCATGAGCGTCTGGGTACATGTCTTTTTCTTTTTACAAAGGTGGGAGATAGGCGCTTTGTGAGACCTCCGATCCACCCAAGAACGCCGCCGGCTTTAAACCCCTAACAAGATCAAACGCAGTGGAAAGTCATGAGCCAAGAATCATCGATAGACTCTTGATGAATAACGGCCCCACGTTTGAATTGAATAACCTCTTTTCATGGAGGGTTTATGAATTCTAAGCGTCAAGCTAGGATGGGATGGCGTCGACGGCATGTCGACCCGGACCCTGGAGGAGTTTGGACCTCTCAATCCTCTCAATCCTCGCGTTGCGCGGTCTTTTTTCTATGGGGTCGGAACGCCCGCCGGCGGTCGGTCTCCCTATTTGAGCTACCCAAATTGAAACATCCCAACATCCCAACATCGCTCGGGAAGCTCTTTGCAAAGTAATAACCACCCCCAAAGATGGCTCCAAGCACCCCAATCAAAACAGAGGTCAATGAGGTCAGACCGTCTGCTTCGACCTCTCCGTCTGCTTCGACCCAAAAAGACCTGTCGCTCCCACCGTCTGGTCTCCTCGTTGGAACGTGCTTCGTTTCGGACGGCCAAGCCAAAACTCAGGGAGTGGACCAACACGGCAAGGGGAGACGTAACCCTAGGGCTCCAAGTGTCTTCTAAGAAGGTGTTTCCTAGGTGGGTTTGGAGTCCGGAGGGTCCAGTCATACCATCTGAAGAGGCACTTGGAGCCCTAGGGTAAGGCAAGTCCCGGCAAGTCCCGAGGGTGAAGGACCTCGAAGGAATTCTTCCAGTTCTTCGACCATCAGGTTCTTAGTTCACCCAGACGCGAAGTCTGGACCCAACGAACCCAGGGACCGGGGCCGTTTGGCCTCATCCGGACTGGTCCGGACCCGAAGCCATCGGTGTTGAGGGACCGGTCGAACTGTGAGGGGTCGCGTCTGGGCAGACATATGGTAGAGCCCACAGCTGGACTCCTTCCGGACCCGAATCCACCCTGCGAATGTCTTTTCGCGCTCGTGTGATGGGCACCGGGGTGGTCATTCCAGATCTGGTTGCAACATGTCCCACCATTGTCACACCACTGGGAGTGTTCTTTAATTTGGTTTACTAAAGCATTCAGGTCCGAAGGGATTGGGTATCGATTCCTGTTTGAACCGTTTTGAACATGTACAATTAATATTAGAACATGGTTACTTCAACGTGTTCCGGCGCGGAAACGAAGCACCGTGTTCCGTCAGCGCAGGAGGCGCTGGAGTCTTTGCTGGGCAAAGCCTACTTTGGCTTGATGTGTGCTCGATGGGCTGCGCTCTTCTTTTGGGAGGACTCTGATGGTTCGAGTTCGCCGACCGGGAATCGACTCCCGGAATGGGCAAACACGTTCGGTGCCAATGGTGCCATACAGCAAACTCCTCTTCCGGAACCTAGGTATAGCCTGTGTGCAGATGGTGGATGGTTGGGCAAACAACCAGAGATTTGTTCCAGGTGGTTTACCCGATTCTTCCAGATAATTACAGATTTGTTCGAAATGGATCTACAGTCTAAACAGCATGTGACATAAAGACAACAGATGAGTAATGTTGCTGTAACATGCTGTAACCCGTTACGATTATGTTTGCTATGCAAGGTAAAATCCATGCAATATGTTTGTGTTTGGTCTAAGTTTGTTTTTGATTGACTGTCAACAACCTTGAACACCATGATTGCAAATAAAGGATTACATTACAAGCATGAACAACAAAGACTATTTGAGCAAGGGGCAAGCCAGTGAGACCTGCAAAACTCTAAGAATATATTACTACGAATACAAACATGACAAGAAGTATTGGGACTTGGGAACAAAAGAACACTTGGGACTTCTTTTGGCACTTGGGACTTCTTTTCTTTCAGGGGAACAAAACAAAAATGACAAGGACCGATGCTTAAGGAAGGTTGTTTTAAACGCTCCTGCTTGGACTTGGAACTGTAATCATTTGTAAACGGATTCTTTATAGAGAAGTGAAGCTCATATTGAAGGACAAGTGTGTTTACCACAACTTTCTGCCTGCCCAAAGTCAACAATATCGAATTAAGTTCCTTTGGCATGGAAACTTTGGAATCTATTCTGTTCTAAAGACCTAACAGTGTTGAATAATGTTCCACCAAATGCATTTGGCAAGTCTGTATGGAGTTCTTGTTTCATACAGGAGCATTTCACATCTTTGCATCGAGAAAGACCGTTTGCTTTCAGGATCCATAGTGATTCAAGAAACAGATTGTCAGAAAGGCCATTGCCAAAGGCTCACACTTCGAGTGGAGGCTGAATCCCTGAGGGTGAAGCCCTCGCCAAAGGAAGAAACAGAAAGCCCAGACACGACCTAGCTGGGACTGCCATGACGGACTGCCGAGAGTTCCGGCCAAGGGTGGTGCCAGGGGGGTCAATGGGGCGGCAGTCCTATGGCAGTCCCATGGCTCGTGTTTGGGAAGGGTTTCATGTTTTAAAGACAACTCGAGCGTTTTGCACGGAAGATATTTGTTGTGAGGATAAAACACAGAGAATTGGAACTGTTGTAGCGCCTGGTTAAACAACGGTTGTTATGAGGATCGAGCTTTTACAAAGGAAGCAATGTTGCTAATACAGATACCTAATATGTTCAAGAGAAAACCAACAAAACAAATCTCAATGGGAAAGGAATGCGCCTACCCATTTTTTTGACCAATATAAACTCGCATAAAGGGTTACGGTACTTGTCTTGAAGATTGAAGGGGTGCTTTGGATGAGAAAGGAAGGACAACTGTAACGAGTAGCGATGCGTTTTTGTTTTTTTCATTTCTCTTCAATCATTGTTCAGTCTGTCCGTTTGAAGTTTGGATTATGGTTGTTGAGAATCAATGAATAATAATCGGAATTAGACCAACCGTTAAAGGATTGCTTGGCCCCTACCCTTGCCTGGCAAGCAAAATTCAGGTACTGAGAAGTTATTGGCATCCCCAAATGTTTTGATCTAAGATCTAAGATTCTCCCCCACTCTTTTGTGCTTTCTTAGATCTTGGATCCCAAAGTTTCTACACCTAATAACCTCAAACAAAGTCTTCACGACTCTTCTTGGCAAACAACTACATGATATACATGGTACCCCCAAGACAAACAACTCTTCCAAAAGGGTAAAAACAAAAAAGCGCGCACACTGCAAATATCATTCGAGTGTACCTAAACCCAGGTTCGGGAGAGGGGGGTGCCATGTGTGCGTGTGTGTAAACCGCTATCAAACGCGGATGAGTCGAAATCACAGACGCTCATCCCTAGACCCGGCTTTGCGGATCAGGTGTCTTGTTATTTTCCCGATGGGTAAGTCTCCTAACCTGAGGAATCTGTTTTATCGATCATCTACTTTCACTTTACCCACTCTGCTTGGACAGCAAATCTGAAGATGGATGGCTACTCGTGGCTACTTGAAAGCACTGCTACACGGATCGGGTCCGGGTTCCGAAGTGTCGGCGGCAGGACCGCCAGGAACTACTGGCCGATGCGAAGTCAGCCATTTGGCAGGCGGTTTGGCACGTGCCGCGCGAGGTCGGTTTGCTGGTCATGAGGCAACATGATTTGCGCCAGTTTTGCCCTTTAAACAAATGTTTCGACTCAGAGTCACGATGTGAAGTCCAACTTGTGTATGTCGTCTTGGGACCATGGAACAAAGATGTGTTCAAACCAGTCTCCAAGAGTGGGACTGAAATCTTCTGGAAATTAATATATATATATACATGGACATGGACCCTTAGAATAACTTCAAACCACTCATGGGATGGCAAACCGTTCAGTTTGATGGATGGGATGGACACGAACGCTGCACAGGAGCTCTCAGGGCACAATGCGCCGCCTCCGCCGAAGAGCCGTCGCCAGGTGGGGGCCAAGTCAGTCAACCGTTCCTTGCTCTTAATAGCGTTGCCCTTGTTCCTATAGTAGTGAGGCCAGGAGCTACTAGTAGCGTCCTTGCTCCTATGAGCGATGCCTTTGTTACTAGTAGCGATGCCAGGAACTATAGGTGGAGATTCTACCAAGGAAAACTGCAGACCTGTTCAAACCTTTTTTGAGGATTGGGGATACCCCGCCAAATAAAAGTTTGGAACAGTCCCGATCGCTGGAGGTCAGGGGCCAGGTACCTTGTGTGATGTTTGCCGAAGATTGGGCGCAGACTTTCAGCTCATTGAAGAGAGAAGGTGGAGGCATTGTATGGAGGAGGCCTTGGTCAAGGAGCTGCTGCGCGGCTGGATCCAGGTGGTCAGAAGCACAGGTTAGTCGGGGCCACGATGGCGAGGGTCCGAGAACATCAGGTTCGTTGGATTGCTCGTTGTCCCCGTGACCCGTCGACGGGGTCGTGGCGGTAGTTGCAATTGTTCAAAGAGCCCGACACCGTGGCATCGGCTGCGGCGATGGGGGCACGTGCCGTGCGGCAGACATGCATACAAAGTGTCAAGGGAAGAGTCTGCAAAAAGATAGGGTTTCTGCAGCGGTATTTTGGCCAAGATGCATCTATCCTTTGTTTGGATAGACTCAGGCATACGACTGGGAGGAGGGCTCAGGCAGACGGGTCGGTGAACTGTAAAGCTGCGCGCATTCGACCAGGCAGTAGGTTTCTGGATCTTCTGTGTGGAGTGAGCATGGAACGGGTCCACTTTTTTGGGGTCTTCAATTTGGCGTTGGGCAAGTTTTTTTTGCAGAGGTTGCCTATGCTCCGGACCCGATTCCTTGGCAACGCCTGGCCTGGCCTTCAAGCAGACTGATCTTCTTTCAGTCTGACGACCTGAATACACTCCGTATGTCTTTGGAAGGAACAATGCCATTGGACACTGGCTGGGCTGGTCGACTTGTAGAGCTTAAACAGGAAAGACATGCCGATTCTCCATGCTGTTCCAGATGTCTGTTCCAGATGTTGCTGACGTTGGCCATCTTGCTACAGGCGCCGCAGTGCTTGCTGGAGGTGCTTACTAGTGCCAGTACAGAGGTCACCAAAAAAGTCAGGCCATTGCAGGAGGTCACGATCGCATGTCTTCAGGAGACAAGGGTTCGAAACTTCAACGTGATCACTTCGAGCATTTAGAGATCCCTCGTGCCTTCTTCCTTCATGAGGGAAGGACACATGCAATACCAGACCCTAGGGATCCAGTCGTACCTTCTCAGAAGGTACTTGGACCCTCAAAACCTACATAAGAGTGTCTCCAATCGCCTTCTGAGACGGTACTTGGATCCCTAGGGAGATGATCCATGTAGGCAAATATATGACCAACCTTCACCACCCAAATCCACAATATTAAGGCCTTCTTCTCCCTAATTGCAGTGTCACAAGGGCCCCACTCTGGGATCCGGACGTGTGTGAAAAACCCTCAACCAGTGGGTTTTAGGTGGTTTTGGTCGTTCTTTCTTCCAGGGGGGTCGAACACCTGGGAGGGCAACTGCCACCTGCGACCTGCGACCTTTCCACCGCCAGGTGTCTGAGGAGCTGCAGCCCTTCCGTTGGGCGCTCTATGTCTTTGGGCGCCCAGTGAATCGCGGGGATTTGAATGATGGAAAGGATGGATAGGCACCTGCGGTCCTCGGCAGTCCGATCGCCCGATTGAAGTCCAGTTCGACATAGGGAAGATATTTTGACCGACGGAAGTAACATGAAGTAAAGGAGGACATGCCTTAAATTGGGTCCCCTACTATAGAGACCTTCTTTTTATGGTCGACTGGACTCCCAGGGCTTGGTTGATTCATGGGCAGGGGATATCACCCTTATAGTGAACCCATAGGGTCCAGGTACCTCCTTTTCGGATGGTCTTGGAGGTGAGTTCGTACTTCCAGAGAATGGTCGAACGGGGGGTCAAAGGACATCCGATTCGGATGGTCCTGGACCCTTAGGGGAAGAACCAGTACCAGTACCAGCAGTGCCAGGACCACCTTTCAAGAGGTGTTTGTCAATGGCATCTTCTTCTCTTTCAATTGGGTGGACACCGAACGGCCACCACCGGGCTGGAAGGTCGGAAGGTCCGCTTGGTGGGCCTCGGTAGATGGTACCTGGCATTGACCCCCTCACTTTCTCCAACAGTAGTAACAAGAAGCTATTAGGGGCTCCTGGCCTTACTACTAGGAGCGTTCGGACGCTATTATTGGAGAGGACACACGACTCTTTTTCAGCTGGACACCGGCCGGTGTTTTTCGCTTGGAGCCCGGTCGAAGTGTGAGGTTCATGCGACCGGATGTTCCGAGTGGGGAGATTTTGCCGGACATGAGATCATGAGGTCTACTTTGTTACATGGTCTATACCTGGACCATCCAAGGGGTGCCCTGTCTGGAAGCCTATAGGTAGTGTGGGCTAGTTAATTGGACAACTCATTTGTATCGCCACAAGAATCCATGGATATCATGGATTTCAGGGTTCATACGTTACTTTGGATGGTAATTCTACATGATTGTTGTTGCTGCGGTTGCAGGCCAAGCACACACGTGTTGTGCCACAATCAGTTTGCAGCACAGTCCCAAACTTCAGCAAGCCATAAATCCGAAGTGCTGTGAAGCGAAGACACACCCAGACACAACCGGACTAGATCGCTGTTCCTACATGGATGTTGGGTCAACCACCTGCAGGTGCATATGTCTTACATAGAGACCTTTCTTCCTTTTCTGTTTTTTATTTGTTTCTAATAGCGATGGCAAATATTCCTTACATGGAGTGTTTGCGAATTAATTAGACTGGGCTACTTGAGCAGGACCTTCCTTTACTTCAACAAGTGTTTACCAGAGAATGCCGGGACTTTATTTGATCATATGGAAGGACCTGAGGTGGTTTGGTTGGATTTTACAGTGACTGAGTGGCTCGACTCAGCGATCTCAGATTCTAATCCAGAAGGTGTTTGGGTTTGGAGTTTGGAGGGTCCAGTCATACCTTCTGAGGAGGTAACCTCCTGGAGGTGTAGGGATAGTGAACTTCTAGCCTCCCCAATCAAGTCGCATGAAGAACACGACGAAGCAACGTTGGGTTAACCAAGATCAGCGTTCTGACAGACCCAGACGTTTGCGGGCCCCCGCGGGGATCAACGCCCGGGATCAGGTGGCGCTTCTCTACAGCCTTTGGGACATGATCTCGAAGGTGGGATGAACAATTTTTATGCCATTCATGTATCCAGGCTCCTGGCCCACTTGTGTTTCGAAGGTGGTTGGGGTGAGTGCCAGGGGGGTCTAAGCACCGAACCTGAGGAGATGGGCCAGGAGCCTTAGGGGTATATCCGATGTGTATGGCGGAGGAGCGGATACCACTACACAAAAAACAATTAAAAACCCACATCAATGATCGTCAATGTAGGGAAAAAAACACATCCGAGAGTTGCAGTACATTGACTTCATGAAAACGGATCAAATGGATGCATGTCTCGTCGGTCACGGTCTCCCAGTCCCGTCGGTGGGAGGGCATCTCGGGGCGAATTCCGGTGCATCGGTCGGAAGTCGGTCCATTCCCGAAAGGGATCCAGTCGTACTGAACCGATGGGGTTCGCGATGGCACTAAATGCAGTAGTGGTTGGACACCTAGGGATTCGGAATTCAAACCATTTCAATCCAACATTATGGTTGGACACCTCAATTTCAGCCACTTGGAACCATGACTGCTCAACTTGTCCAATTCGTTGAACCTATTTTGGGGGGTGACGCACAGCTCCGTCTTCACCTCCGAAATCGCTGGGATTCCTTTGAAGTCTATTTGGCACCGAAGCCAAGGACGTTCATTCATCAAAATCGGATGAGCTATAAGTCGACCATGAAATCATCAGAAGGGGCTTGCCATGGCTTGCTTTTGTTTTTTGGGGGGCCGAGTCAAGTTGAACAAAAACATGGCGCCTGCTCTCTTGGGTCACAAAAAATGGGTCCAAACTGACGAGGAGCTGACGGGGCGGATCTCGAAGTGGTGGATGTGATTGTGTTGTTTTTTGGGGGGAGACATAGGTCCTGAAAGTTCCAGACCTAGCTATTGATTACCTAGCTTATACTATAGCCTATACTACTTACATACTACTTCCACTTGAACATGTGCTTCCTATACTTCAACCATGAATTGATTGAAATGCCGACCACTAATGGTTTTACAAAGGATTCGGTCAACCAGTGACGAGGATCCGGTCAACCGATTTCTTTGAGATGGGGTCGAAGGGAATAGCGGAATAGCTGAGCCACCATAGCTATGCGCAGCTATGGACGGTGGTTTAGGCGGAGTTTCTATTTGCAACCATTCAGCGTAGGGGAAAGACCACTGTGATGGATGGAATGGGTGTTTTTTTGAAATCAGAACTGACTATTCCCTAGGGCTCCAAGTACCTCAGAAGGTATTTGGACCCTCCAAACCCACCCCAATACATTTGACACGAAGGTACGACTGGAGCCGGGATTTGACTGGCTTCTTTGTTCGCAAAAATCCAAGTGCGACCGAATTCCAAGTCTGACAGGCGAGACACTCGCATCGTTTCGTCCTGTTTCGCATGGCAAATCCCAGCGATTCGCAGGTGACGCGAGGATTCGCATGATGAGGATTCGCATCGCTTGAAAAGCGTATCGCATGGCTTCGGGATGAGACCGAGAGGAGAACGAGCTTGTTGGAAGCCCCCGGTACAGTAGCTGCATGAACTCTAGGAACCAGTGAATCGAGTCAAAAACGAGCATTTCACAATGAACACTTCATATCTACTTGGATATGCCGCATATGGGCATATGATGAATTCGTCCTGATTCCTTTGTTTGACCACTTCGGTTGGCCCTATATATATATATGAATTACAATATATTACAATATACAATACTTGATATCATTGCCGAAATCACTTGGGAGTTTTGCGGACTGCTAGAGAGCGCAGCCTCTCACAGCAAGTGATCTCCTCGAAAAGGTGATCGAAGGCGGTCCGGATGGATATATACTCCCTGGAGTGCGTTTTCCATAAATCGCATGAGGATTCAGGGAGACTCGAGACTCAAGACGCTCCCCCAAGTTTGGAGACCGCCTCCCATCGACTCAGCCAGTAATAGCCCATGAGATCATCCATGATAATCCATGAGACTGGAAGAGTTCATTACATATGAAACCTCAAAACTGTCAGATTTGATTCATATAAACCACGACCACTACCAGTCGTGATTTTCCGTCGTGATTGCTTCTCCGCCGCATACGGGGCTCCGCAGCTCTGCAGCAGCCGGCTGAAGGGGCCGGCGGGGAATGGCTGTAACTAGCAGCTCCGCTGCTTTGAGGCCTGGACCCCATCGAAGGATTCGGTCGATCGCGATCGCAGGTTCGAGTATCTGCGGTAAACGCGTGTGCCGGGGTGCAGGATGGAGTTGGGAGCCTTGATTGTGCAGACTGAAACCTCCGAACGGTGAACGTGATTCGATGCCTTGCCGTCTACGGTCACGCATGGTCTATTAGTCTATCTATGTCTACATACTATCAGGAACTCCACAAACTACCCAGAAAAGTGATGAGTCTTTAACATCCGTTGGCATTTTTTAACATTTTTTTGAACAGCCCAGACGCGACCCTGGGCCCTCATATGGAGGGGTCGGACCCGAATCCTCTGGAGGGGTCTGGGGTCTCAATTTCCCCAGGTTTTGAGGGACCAGTCGGGCTGTTTGGAGCGCCTGGGAGCTAGGTGAAAGTTCGGTTCCACTCCCACTCGCTAGCATGGTTACTATGTGAATGGCCTGACCACTGTTCGGCCTTCGCAAGCGTGACGCTGCGCTACACTGCTCACCCTGTCCCCTTCAGGCCTTGCTCCCTCCTCCAGTACTTTTCCTGCATCCAATTGTTTCATTTTGCCCCTTCTTTGGCACAGATTTTGACATTAACTCGTCTCTGGCTAAAATCCATCACACTTTGGGTTCTACGACCTGATGGCTTTGATGTGGTACTGACAGCTTGTGACAGCTTCCTTTTCGTAAGCCAACTTTACGCTAACTTCTTTCGCGAAAGGTCCCGCAAAAGGGATGAACAAATAGTGCCGGGATCGGCCCGCCAAAGGCCGCTGTTCACGGTGGTCGCAACAGGACCGCGAAGGTCGCCGATCGCCTGTTGCGAAAGGGTGCGGCGCCAGTTCCCGGTTTTCGACACAGCTCAGGTGTCATTAGGAGGTGGATCGATATAGATCCGAACCTCGGTACGACTGGACCTGACAGGCACCTACAGCCAGTGTCGAACAACACATCTCCTAACCTGGTTCTTCGGGATGACAATGACCCGTCTATTATATATATATATATATATTAGCAGCACCTTCCAACAGGTCTTCTTTGAAGGGTTGTTAGGCCCTAAGCCCTAACAGGTTTCAATTGGTGACCTGTGAAGTCGGTGCTGGTAGCCAACATGGAAGAACCTGTTTCGTTTTGGAAATCAACATCGTCTCAAAGTCATTGCTACATTGCTACGCGTGAAAGTGCATGAGGGTGGAAGAAAGAAGGCAATGCTGAGTTCATGTTGTTACCTATTTATATATATATATACCATGTTGATGCGCGCAAGTGGTTTCGAACGTGAGCACACTCCACCCCGTACCCCACCCCACCCCGCCTGAACTCCCCTTCCATGTAAGTAAGTTCACCCTATCCTTCAAAGACCATTACAAGAATGGTTGGAGTGTACCGTGTAAGAGTCCTTGGTAAAACAACGGTTCTTTGATAACTAAAGCAATGGTGGTCCACGAATCCTATAGGGAAGTTCGCTTCACCTGATCCTAGGTTCCTAGGGATCTCCGGCAAAAGACAGTCCACAAAGGTCGCAACTTGAAGAAACTGCACAGGGTCCACGGAGCAGCCGACGAAACAGGTCACAACGCCCACGTGTTCAGCACAAAAGAAAACATCCGCAAGACCAGAGACGGGAGGTTTTGGGAAGTGCAAGATCCGCTGTTCTTCACTTCAGGTCGAAGGACGTGTTTGATATTCACAGACACTCCATGTATGCCATATATGCCAAAATGGCTGTGGTTTTGGGGGTCAATGTAGGCATATATGGCAGTCCCATTGGTCGTGTTTGGGATTGGGTCTCATTCCATGGGTGTTCTTTTAGCAAACGATTCCTCGCCCGCCAGAAGGATTCAGTCATTCAATTCAAGGTTTGTGTGGGAGGCGACTTATTCCATCCACGACTCGATTGTTTGAGACAATCCTGCGGTGAAATCAAAGGTTCCCCTTCTGTGGGTCCCTACGGATTTGAATCTCCTCCTCGCAGACCTTCCACATCCTTATGGATGACGTGGATGCCGAGGGCGGCTCGTTGACGGCACCTTTGGCGGACGAAGGGGCTGCCGGGCTGCCTGAACAACCGATCCCGGACCAGCTGTTCCGTAGGGATCCAGTCGTACCTTGTCAGGTTTGGTGATGTGTTCGACACTGAGACATGTAGGTGCCTGGGTCGGGCCCAGTCGTACCGAACCTGAGGTTCGGTACGACTGGATCCCTAGGGGTTTGGGGGCATAATATGAAACCATGACCCCAGGTCTGGCCCATTTGTACTGATCGGGAATCATATGCCAGTTGCTTTGGGGATTTGGAAGGCAAGACGGGGTGATTGGCCGACATGAGTTCTTTGGGTCTTTGGATGCAAACCTAGCCGCACAAGTGAAACCTGGCCGGAATCGTTCGACTGTGAAAACACCGTCAAACGAGTGACACGGTTGACCTGGTTGTGTAAAATCCTCAGTAAAACCATGGTTGTTTGGCAAAAAAGCATTAGAGCCATGGTGGGCCAGGAATCCTAGGGTGAAAGCGGGTGTTTTTTGACGCGCTCCGACATTTGACAGGGAACTCTGCACTTAATCATATAAATTTATAGAAAGAAGCTGCGAGTCAAGGACCATAAGTTTCCTACAGCCCAGACATGGCCCCTGTCTTGACCATAGGAAGTTGAATCATATTTTGTGTGGTTGGTCATCCAAAATGGAGGTCTCTCAGTTCGGCGATATATATATATATAATATATATATATATACCAGCTAAGCCGTAACAACCCGAAAAAGTACTTTTTTTTAAAAAAAATGTAGATTTTTGCTTTTGGTATATTGCAATGAGTGATGCCTCTACGTAGTGGAGCCACGACTATATGTCCCCCCTACTCTTCGTAGCTGTTTGGCTGAAGGGCAACTGTTCACCCCCCCGCCAGCGGGATGTGGCTGGCGGGGGGTGTCGATCGTGAGAAATGGTTCAACCACCGATTCGCTCCTGGGCAGTTGGTGGAGTGCGGCATTCGTGACAACGAAGGCCATGCACAGGGCACCGTGATCTTGGAGATCGCAGCGGCTTTGTCCACCGATGATCAAGGGCATTGGGTGACGGCCAAGTTCCTCGGGGCCAGTGATGCCCATATGCAATGGTGGATGTCTGAAGGTGCAGGCAAGAAACTTGCTGCCAAATGTGCCTACCACTTCTGCGAAGATTCTTCGCATGATTGCAAGGTCAGCAGACGTGGAGCCTCGATCCATGTAGAGAAGTTCAGGGTGCTGGGCCAAAAGGAGGTCAACAACCATGTGCCTTCTTGGGCCTTTGCCAAGTCAATGGGCAAGCACTTCATGGACTTCTTGAAGAAGAAAGGCATGGAGCCCAAAGCTGAGGAGGCCAAAGGCGCTTTACCCTGGGTGGACCCAGGTGAAGAAGCTTCGGAAGAAGAGGAAGAAGAAAGCAGTGGGAGTCGTGAGAAGGAGGGCCTCAAGTCGAAGCTCCTGAAGGCACGTGACATGGTCTAACGCCTTGAGCGAGAGTTGTCAGGGAAGAAGAAAACCTCAAAAGGTGGCGGCATCAAGGCAAAGAAGGAGAAGGTCAAGCGCAAGAAGAAGTTGGAGCCTGACGCCGAGGTAAAGAAGAAGCGAAAGAAGGAGAAGAAGTCACCCTCCCCTGGAGGTGGAAAGAAGAAGAAGCGGAAGGCCGCTGGAGCAGATGAAGAGCGAGACAAGGAGGCCCGAGTTGCCAAGAAGAAGAAGAAAGACATTGAGGAGTCCTCCTCTTACAGTGAAGAAGAGGAGGAGGGCTTGTTTGGTGAAGGCACTGAGGGCAAAGCGTCATCCTCGGCAAAGAAGGGCCAACGTGATCGTGGACCCTTCGGGGGTGGTGACATCGTCAGGTACCAAGGGGAGTCCTCTAGCGAGTCAGAGGCAGTTTTTCGCGAAGCCCCCACAGTCCCAAAGGCATCAAACCAGCTCAAGTTGATGCAGTACGCAAAGAGAACACCGGGCCGCCTGGCTTCAAGACTCCTCTTGAAGATGCAGGTCGAGGGAGCCCAAGGGGCTGTGGGGGCGAACCCCGCGGATCGAGGAGAGCTGACCCCGCCAGCGGCCGTGCACTATTTCCACACGATGATAGTGCCGCAGCTGGGACAGCGCCTAGGGATGAGAGCACATCTCCCTGGCCAGAAAGCTGCCAGCCCACGCAGCGGACCTACTGGGGCAGCGCCTCAAGGCCATCGAGAAGAGCTGCCACGACGGGCACTGGCAGGCAGCCCAATTCCTGGAACTTCTGGGTCCGGACGCAGGCGGCCTCCTGGAGAGGGACGAGGAGGTCTTCATGAACCGGGAGCACCTGTTGGAGCTGAAGTTGAAAGGGTTCAGCAACCCGAGAGCCGGCAAGGACGGAAAAGGAAGCCAAGAGAAGGGCGGCCGGAAAGGGAAAGAGAGAGGAAAAGGCAAAGGAGGAGAAAGGGAGAAGGAGAAGAAGGACTAGTTCCTGCAGAGGCCACCAGGGAGCCCTCTCCGCCCCCTGTGCCATCAAGTCCTGGTGATCTGAGGAGCTACCTCGCTGAAGAGCGCACGCCGGTGGAGTTGTTCTATGGCTTGTGGAGGACTTTTGAGGGCAAGGATTCGCCGCTGAGTCGCCTAGCGCAGTTGGGTCGAAGTCAAGGAGCGCCTCTCGAGGAGAAATCCTCCAAATCGTTGCGGGGCGACGAGCTGCTGCCCATTAACCCACAAGCGGCGATCACCTACTTGCAGGCGCACGGCGAGGTGAAGGCTCAGGGTGTTGCGGGCATGGTGACTGCCCTGAATTTGCTTGCAAGGTCGCAAGGGCATGGAGGTTGGTCGAACCCGGAAGTCAAGGCTGACCTCACTCAGGCACAGAAGCTTACTGTTGATCACTTGAGGCGTGCTCTGGACTATGTGGAGGAGCGGAAGCTGAAGTGTGGTCGATTCAAGCAGACAGCGAAGCGCCTGGCTGATGTGCGCTTTGACTACCAGGGAGAGCCTGTGGTCGTGATGGAGGATATCAGGGCAGACAAGGTGATAGCGGCTTGGCCTGGGGTGGGTCAGGCGGCAGTCCAGGATGCCTTATCATTCCTCCCCGAGAAGTTGAAGGCGAAGCTTCTGGACCCGACCTCGTGTCTCAAGCCTGTTCATGAGTGGCCGAGTGAGCCCCATCAGTCCAAAGTGAGGGCTTCCGATGAGGAATGGAAGAAGGTGGTTAGTGCTGCCTATGAGCGTGGTCTGATGGTGGCAGTGGAGTGTGAGGAGGTCTTCAAGGACCAGAAGGGAAGACCTGTCCTTAATGGAGCAGGTGCAGTAAAGAAGGAGAAGAAGGTGAATGGGAAAGTGGTGAGCACCCAAAGGTTCATCAGCAACCTGATCCCAAGCAACATGTTCCAGGACCGCCTGGATGGCGATGACAAGCTTCTGCCCTACCTGGGGCAACTCACCCTCCTGGAGCAGGAGGAGGATGAAGTTTGGTTGGTTGATTCTGAAGACTTCACAAGCTGCTTCAACCTCTTTCGGCTGCCCCCGGTTTGGCACAAGTTCATGGCCTTTGAAAAGCCAGTGGATGCATCGCTGCTGGGAGGTGTAGCAGGGAAGATGGTTTACCCAGCAATGGCGGTGTTGCCGATGGGCTGGGTAAGCAGCGTGGCTGTGGTGCAGAGCATTGTGAGGTCGTTGGTTTTCAAGGAGGCTGAGATCCCCGTGGAGTCCGAGGTAGCAAAGACTCAGCCCCTGCCGGCAGATGAAGATCTCACGGTCATCTATCTGGATTCATATGACCAGTTGAGGAAATTCAAGAAAGGCTGCCAGGAGGTTTTGAGTCCAGAGATGTCGGAAAGGCACAAGCGCTTCCTGCGGGTTTGCGAGGACCTGGCACTGCCGCTCAACGATGGTAAGAGGCTGGTGGCATCGACATTAGGCGCTTTGCAGGGCGGTGAATTGGACGGGGAAGACGGCCGCTACGGGTTGGCGGTCCAGAAGATGGTGGACGTGATGTCTCTGGGAGCAACCCTTCTGGCCAAAGAGAAGTGGACAGAGGCAGAGCTGAGGCACTTCGTAGGGAAGGCAACTTTTGGATGCTGCTTCAGGAGACCCCTCTTCTCCATCCTCGAGAGTGTGTTCGAGGAGATCAGTGAGAGAGCCCGGATGAGTGACAGGGAGGTGCCCCGACAGGAGAGTTGGGATGAAGTGGCCATGATGGTGCTTCTGTCGCCGCTCATGTACACGTATTTGAAGGCCCGAATAGACCCAGAAGTGTCAGTCACAGATGCTTCACCAACAGGTGGTGGGGCCGCCACGGCTGTCGAGTTCCAAGCTGAGCCGTGCACTATCGAGAGGGACCCAGCGGTCTGTGCTCAATGCGGCAAAGACATTCCGGGGCATGACCGTTACCCGTGTCCAGCGGTGTGTGGGGCCACGCTGTGCTCACTCTCGTGTGTGTTGACGCACCGGGAAGGCGATGAGGTCTGTCCCCGGAGTACTTGGAGGATCCCCAAGTTCGGAGAGAGGTTCGCTGGCAGGCGAGCACCGTTGAGTCACGCAGTGGCCATGGTGGGCAAGGTTGAAGTCCAACCACCTTACGACTGGTTTTTTGGTGACAACTTCTTCACACCAGAAGGGAAGCAGTCGTTGGCCGATCTCATGGACGACCCTTGCTTAGCTGTGGAGCATTGGGCGCCCGAATGCAAGCTCTTCAGCAGAGCCCGAGGACGGCCTATTACATTAAGGGATGGCCGCCGAGTACAGGGGCCACAGCCGGTCCGAGACGCTCATCACGTCATGGGCTATCCGTGGTTAAAGGCGGATATGAAAGCAAGAGTCCGCCGTTCTAACCAAATGGTGCTCAAGGCGTTGAAGAGGGGGCATGAAGATCGGCGGGGTAGCAAGGTCTACTGGTCCTGCGAGCATCCTCGGCGCTCTTGGATGTGGGAATTCCGCCTGGTGAAGGAGATGGAGGCCTGGCCCGAGATGAAGTACTCAATCGCCTCGCATTGCTGCTTTGGAGGGGAGAGGGTAAAGTGGTTTGCAATCCTCAGTGACCTCCCCTCCT